GCCCAGGGACCTGGAGCAGCTGGGGTGGTGCCTGTGTATGCAAATTAACCCAGCAGCTTTGTTGGGTTAATTTGCATACTCACTTCTGATTGGCTTGTGGGTGTTGTGAAGGTAAGATCAATTTGCACCTTACTCTTTTATTGGTGTAAATTGTCCTAAGACAAGGTAGATTTACACATCAAAGGCCAAGGTTTAGTATACAGAATCCATTGTCAGATTGGGGAACTACCTATGGCTGTTCAGGTGTTTGGCCAGTAGGAAGCAATTACTTGTAGATTAAAATGCCTTCAGCTATCTGGCAGCAAGCAATCATCTATGAAAATCTTTAGGTGTGGGGGAATTATACTCAGGCACATTCTCATCGATTTAAATTTTAAAAGAAATCCTGCTATTATCTCCACTAGATGGCACTGTTCTTAAATTTTAGATTGCCTGTGATGCTGAAGATTTGGAAAGAAGTGTAAAGGTTTCATTTCAACCCAGTTGGGGAGACTCTTAAGCTGCTTTATTTGTTTGCTTGGCTTTAAGTAAACTTTTATTTTGGAATAATTTTACATTTACAGAAAATTTGCATAGGTAGTACAGAGAGTACCTGTATATTTTGGCAGGTTTCCTCTAATGATAACATCTTACAAAAACCATGCTACATTTATCAAATCTAAGAAATTGACATCAGTACATTACTATTAACTATACTACAGGTTTTATTTATATTTCACTAGTTTTCCATCCATATTCTGATTCTGTTCCAGGATACAATCCAGCATATCACATTGCATTTAGTAGTTTTTTTTAAAAAAATATTTTTTATTGATTTTTTTACAGAGAGTAAGGGAGAGAGATAGTTAGAAACATCAATGAAAGAGAAACACTGATCAGCTGCCTCCTGCACACCCCCTAATGGGGATGTGCCCGCAACCAAGATACATGCTCTTGACGGGAATCGAACCGGACCTGGAACCCTTCAGTTCGCAGGCTCTACTCACTGAGCCAAACCAGTTAGGGCAGCATCATTTTTAGTAATTTTGTGTCTTCTCCAATTAAATTTTTTTTCTGTTTATAACTCCCATCAGGATGTCATTAAAATATGAATGCTATGGAATCATTATTAATTTTGTTAGGTATAATAATGATATTGTGCTTGGAATTTCTTTAAATATCCTTATCAATGAGATACAGATTGAGCCGGGACCGGTTTGGCTCAATGGATAGAGTGTCGGCTTGGGGACTGAAAGGTCCCGGGTTCGATTACAGTCAAGGGCATGTACCCTGGTTGCAGGCATATCCCCAGTAGGGGGTGTGCAAGAGGCAGCTGATCGATGACTCTCTCTCATCGATGTTTCTGACTCTCTATCTCTCTCCCTTCCTCTCTGTACAAAATCAATAAAATATATATATATAAAAAAGAGATACAGATTGAAGTATTTATAGATGAAATTAGTTACTTTAAAAATACTTCAGCCAATAAAAAAATTGAGGAGCCAGAGCAAATAAGACAGGATATGTCCATAGGTGTTTATGAGGTTATTCTTTAGTATAAAACTAAAATGTCTTATAATCAAAAAGTTGTTTAAAATGGAAATGTAAAATAATTGAACAGTAGAAACGTGGTTTTAATGTGACAATAATGCCAGATTCTGAGGACTGCTCAGATTGGCCGCGGTTCCACTGAATGACATTCACGGATCAGAATAACTGACATTGTAGATTCACAGCTCTGTCAGAACACGTCTCCCAGGCGCTGCATGCCGTGCCGGAGGACAAGCGCAGGCCGGGAAGCCGCCCGTCCACTGACTCAGGCATATTTGAGGCTTGGGGTGGAACCAACCGTGCAGTAAAGGCTGATTAAAAATGAATCTTGGCTGGTAGCAAATATCCCATATTTTCAAGGTGGGGATTTTATTTGCCTCTCTCTTTCTTAGTTTTGTGGTTTTGAGTTGACTCATCTCCATCATGTGGCTAATAAACGGAAGGTTTATTATCATTATTACACCTGGTAATAATAATTTCTAATAATAGTAATTTAAACATCTGTATGGGTTATAATTTTTCCAAGGACCTGCAGCCCTTCATAATTATCACAATTATCCTATTGATCATTTAGCTGAGTTGTAGCTGCTAGTAGCTGCTGCTTTCCTGCTCGCTGAAGTCAGCTCTCCCTTTGCCCTCAGAGCGTCTAAGGGCCTGCCTCCTGGCTCGCTGAGCAGTCGGGGCAGGTGCCGAGGCCTGCTTTGTTCTGTAACGGGGGAAGGGGCAGAATCTACCAAAGTCTTTTCTATGTCTCTTTTTATTTTGCAACACAAGGGTTGGGAGGCCTAAGCTTGAAGCAGGTATGGACAGTTGTGCTCTCTCTCTCTATTCCAGGAGGGACTTCCTGTGGCTTGACTTCAGTTCCTGTTTTTGTTAGGCACCCCTCCTCACCCCACCCTCACCTCCACCCCTCCTTGGATGGCTGGGACCATGCCAAATTCCTTTAGCGGGGGAAAAATAATATGAAAATGAGAGTCAAGTCTTATAGGATCAGGGGATTTTCCGGGTTCTCTCAGTTCAGAGTTCTTTCCACTTTGCCCAAACCGTCTAATAGGGACTCAGAGAAGATGTGTAACCCGAGGAAGAAATGTGGCTTGGAAAAGAGGTGTATGAACAAGCAGAATAACCCCAGGTTGCTAATGGTGGTGGTGCTGGGAGTGGCTGCATGATCAGCTGGCTGCTGTCTCCATGCCTCCCCGCCTCCAAGGGATGAATGAGCATGTTTTTTGACAACTACCTGTGTCTGTTGTCTCCCTGTTGTCTCCTTAAGACAGGAGGCCATCTTTTGCTCAAATTTTCTTTATGTCTGGATTCCAGCAATGTTTTTATTCTGTTAAAATGAAGTTTTAAAACACATTAGTCTGGGGAATCATAAGAGACTTAAAATGTTTTTGACGGCCTAATCTACTTCAAAGAGTTCACCTGATCAAAGTGGCAGGCTGTCTCTATCTGCCGGAAGCTGGATTGGTCGGGTGTAGCAAGAATTGGAGCAGTGGTTCTGAAACATCAGGGCCAAACCTTAGCTTTTAACCCAGAGAGAGGGTCTAGGGTGGGATACTGAGCACCTGGGCCCTTCAGGTGAAAACACTCAGAACTGTCATCTAGAACATGAGCCTCAGCTGGAAAACAGAATTCATCAAAAGGCACGCTGTCCATCCTCAGGAAACAGGCTCCGACTCCACCAAGGGGCAACTGGACCCCAGAGGGTGAGGGGCTGGAAAGCTCTTTTATGTGGGATCTTTGATAAAGTCAGAAAGGAAGTTGCTTAGACATGTCCCCTCAAATCTGTAGCCACAAGTGAATGAAAAGTAAGCCCTGAGAGTGGCTGGCACAGCCCCAAACAGGTACAGGCGGCTGATCTGTACCAACCAAATCAGCTTAGTCCCTGGCCTGCACGGTTAATGGGGATGAGGTGGTCTTTTTAACATGATGCTGTTTTTAATCATCAAGTAGTAAAACTCATAATTCACTCATCGAATCAGGCTCTTTTTTTTTTTTTTTTTTTTTTTTTCTAAAACAAAGCCATAATTTGTGTTTTATACCTGGCATAGCGTGGACCCTGTCTGGCTCAGGGAATCTTGGAAAGCTTATCCTGGACTTCCAGGAACTAGACTGATTGATTCAACTCGAATTTGAATATCTGGTGGAGCATTTTTCTTGGAGTGCATGTCCATGCCTGACTGTATTTTCTTGCCCAAATAGATAATCTGGCCGGGGCGGATACAGCCTACTTGGCCTTTGCTTGTTATTTTTTGGATACTTTGATGATGAGATCAAATATGACGTATGACTCAGAATCACCAGGTACGGTTGGGAGGCCCTAAGCTTGAAGCAGGTATGGAGAGTTATGCTCTCTGAAAGAAAAGAGATTATATTACCCACTTACTGGTCCAATATCCCAACACTAAGGGTTCCCTGGTCCATATGCAAGGTTCCCTCTCTCATCCATCATATCAGAACAATAGGAAGACTGCAAATAGCTTCACTAGTTTGTGTGTCCACCTCGTTTTTAACCTTTCCTACCCCCGCAATTTGCAATTTTTCCATACTGGTTTGACAGCAATGAAATATTCATGGGCTTATGACTATGAGTTAGATTTGAAGTGTTTGTTTTTGGCAAGCCTACTGATCTCAAGTTTAGAGGAAATGCTTGTGTGGGGAGGAAGGACAGCCAGTGCCCTGCTCTTAAGGAGCTCAGCATCTACTCAAGGACAAGGGAGATGCCCAGAGAGAGGGCAGGGCTGTCCATGCTCCACTGCAAATGAGTGGTATAGTCCTAACAGAGAAGGGGGTGAGAGTTCAATGGGCATAAGCAGTCAGGGTAGATTTCCTGGAACAGGAGGTCCTCACCTGGACCATAAAGAATGGGCTGTGTTTGCTTGGTATTTTCCAGGAATGAATTAGGCGTGGATCTGGGCATTCTTAGAATAAAGAGACTATGACTCAGCCCTAACCGGTTTTGCTCAGTGCATAGAAAACCAGCCCTCAGACTGAAGGGTTCTGGGTTCAATTCCAGTCAAGGGCACATACCTCTGTTGTAGGCTTGATCCTCAGTCCTGGTCGGGGCGCGTGTGGGAGGCAACCAATCGCTATGTCTTCCTCACATGAGATTTCTCTCTTTCTGTCTTTCCCCCTCCCTTCCACTCTCTCAATGGAAAAATACTCTTGGGTGAGGATTAACAACAACAAAAGAGAATATTACTCAGTCTCACTAGAGAAGGACTTGGTGATCACGGGGAAAAAGAGGGTGGGGCTGGTCTGTTCAGGGTGGCTGTCCATTAATTCCTTTATTTAAAATTATGCTTGTCCTTGGAAGTCCTGCAAACACAGGCCTGGTTACTGACCCTACCATCTGTTAGTCATTGTGTACACCTGGACCATAAGAACCGGGATTGGGATGTTGTTGGGGGACTGTAGGAACTAAGAAGGGTCCGTTCGACCAAGGAACCTTTTGTGTCTTTTCTCCACAGTGCGACCCCGAAGATATAAACCTTGAAGGGAATAAAGACCGCGTGAAGATGCTTAGATCCCAGATGCAAAGGTGTCCTATGAGGCCAGTGGACTTGACTTCTGAAGAGTAATACTTTTTGGAGCCACATCAACAGCTCAGCCCCAAAGTCAGCTGCCAGGAACTGAACAGAGATCAACTAGCAATGACACCCATGGCAGGAGTTTAAGCTTCTGCTGGGTCTGCCCAAGAAAGTGTGGCACCAGGAGCTGCCACTGCCCTTGGCAGGCCTTTGCCATGGCTTGGAATGGAGCTAAGACTTTGGGTCCTATGCACAGACCTGACATGCCCAGAGTTTGTTCTGAAAATTTGAAGTTCACAGAGCACTCTTGTGAAATATAAATTTTCATCCTCCTTTCCTTTTCCCTTTCCCTTTCTTACATGATTTATTGACTTTTTATAGAAGAAGGGAGAGAAATGAAAACATTGATGAGAAATATTGGTCGGCTGTCTCCTGCACACTGCCCACCAGGGATCGAGCCTGCAACCCCCGCAACTGGGGCATGTGCCCTGACTGGGATTTGAACCAGCAACCTTTTGGTATACAGATCAATGCTCAACCACTGAGCCACACTAGCCAGGTTCCCTTTGAATTAACCAGACTTTGAATATCCGCTAGGTGCCAGGAATGAGTTCATCTAACAAATAGCTAATATGTTTGGATCTCAGTAGAGCCCATTCTGCAAGACTTGACTAAGCCTAGATGAGAAGGGTGGACCCACATGCTGGATTCAGTCACAGGTACTGATGGAACCTGGCTCCTGCTTTCCGGTTACCCACTTGAGTTTTCTGCTGGAGGTTAAAGATAGGGCTGCTTGGCCAAACAAGTGTTTGTGAGGCCAAGCAAATAAACTGCTTTAGGTACCAGGGCTTGCTGCAACCTGACAAGGTGCGTGCTGGGGCAGGGTTTGCAGGTGAGGGGGGCTGCTTCAGGAGGTAACTGAAAGCATGCAGTGGGTAAGAGGCATGACAGGAGGTGTTCAATTCAAACGCAGCAGTCCCATTTTAGGACTGTTTTGATACTGTGATCAGGGTGAGGGGAAGAATCAAGGGATTGGGGCCAAGGTGAGAGGAACACTGGCGTGAGTGAATAAATCGCTGTGGAGCAGAGATAGGTCTGAATCCCAGCCGCAGAAGTCTGCCACAAGGGGAAGTGGGAGATGTGCCGGGAAATCTAGCTCTCCCTTTAGCTGGCCTCTGTGTGACTCAGCTATTATTGCCCAGCTTCTCCTAAGCGTAGTGCAAGTACTGGCAGCAGCAGAAGCCGCACCTCAGAAAAGCAGGTTGATCCCACAGATCTCTGCAGAGATCCTAACCTCCCTCTGAGCTAGAAGTGAATATAAATCCACCCAATTTACTCCCACTATCCAACTGCTTTGGTCCCTGGTTGTCTTGTAGTGGAGTTTGCTAAAGTCAGTTTTGCGTTGTCATCTTACACCACTGAAGCTGTACTTGGAGGGAAGATGAAGATTGGAATTGGTGGTGTGTGTGTCGGAGGGTCAGGAGGGAGGTTGGATTTCCAAAAGATGAGACCTAACAGAGGATTGGAAGCAGGGAAGGGTGGAATCTAGTCAAGGAAGGAGAGATCTGATGTGGCCAGAATGGGTGATGCAGTGTGGGCTGTAGGGAATGGGCAAAGAGGCCGGCAAGCAACCAGACCGTGAAGGCTAGGGAATTCTGTGGCTAACTGGTAGCTGTGGGAGATATCAGAGTAGGAAGATACCTAACACGGGTCAATGCTCAACCACTGAGCCACACCGGCCAGGCTCCCTCAGATAGGCCACAGCTGATGGGTGAGTTTTTCATCCCTCCGGCCACACCTTTTCAGGATGCAGAAATGTGCAGTTATGGACAAAGTATGAGCACGGGGAATTCATTTAATCTGAGTAGTAACAGCAGGACGGGAGCAGGGTTCATCTTTAGAAAGACAGAGACATGGGGAGAGGATGACATCTCTGAAGTTTGCCTTCAGCCCACAGCCCCCCTCTCAAGGGGATGCTGGCTCATGCTCCCTGAGGCACCGGAAATCCGTTGGATCCTGATGGAAATGTCCTTTCGCCCACGAACATCAAAGAATCTTGCTATGTAGGGGAACATCTCACTGTACTTTTCATTCAATTTTGCTGGGAATTTAAAACTGCTTTAAAAATTAAGTTTTTAAAAATTGTATTGCTGACTTTCAGCAGCACAAACTTCTCGAGATTCAGGTTTGTTGACTCCTTAGATCCCTTCGTCCCAGCGCCTTCCTTCACAAATCAGTTCCTATTGTCATGGTCCAAGCTTGTCTCCAAGCTGAAGCCTGTGTCTCTTCTTCCAGGGTGAACTATGAAGTTGGGGTGTGGGGAGAGGTTTGGCCTCATTGTTCAATGAGAATCTGCCTGCTACGCAAAGCTCTGCAGCTCTAGAGCCTTTGTAACAAGGTGCCACACAAAATGCCTTCCTCCTACTGTGTTTCCCCGAAAATAAGACATCTTCTGAAAATAAGACCTACTTACAAGTTTCCTTCTGAGTGAAATATAAGGCATCCCCCGAAAATAAGGCCCCCCTAGGCTAAACATGAGAGATTTGGTCCACTGATTCTGAAAGAAATGGAGTCACAAGAAATTCACCAGGAAATTCAGGAATTGGATTGTTATGATGATGTTCCAGATGATGATGACATGATTATCATTGAATAAATGAGTAAATTTTTGATACTGTAGGATTCAGAGTTTGTCTGGTTTGTGTTGACAACTACCGTACTGCCGTACCGTATACAGGTAATAAATTTCCTTTATTTTCATTTAACAATAAATTTGTACCGTATTCTTCTTCATAGAAAAATAAGACATCCCCTGAAAATAAGACCTAGCGCATCTTTGGGAGCAAAAATTAATATAAGACACTGTCTTATTTTCGGAGAAACAGGTAGTAGGAATGTCCCTGCCTCCCCTGCAGCTGCTCCCCTCGCTGGTAGGCCAGGAGCATTATGGGGTTACTTGCTCTGAAGACTCACTGAGCAGTGCAAGGGGTTATCCACATTGGGGAGAACAGGGGGAACAAACATGTTATCCTCTTCTGCCCACTCACCTGGAAATGAGATGATGTAACACAGTGTTAGTTGTGCTGCCTATTATCTGCATGGCTTGGAGCCTGTTATGTAACTTTGGTGAATTCCTGAGGCAGACTGAGTATAATATCTACATGGAAAGCTTGTGGTGAAGACTGAGTGAATGAACAGCTATGAAATGCATAACACAATACCTGACTCAAAGTAGACACTGAAGCAGGATGCTTCCTTCCTCCCTATACTTCCTGGCCACGTATGCCCTGAAGGGCAGTTAGTAACCAATAAGGTTGGAAAGGGCTTCAGTGATTTGAACCCCCTTGACAATAACTCCAATAAGTGATTACCCATACCCTGAATAAAGATTTCACCCATTTTATCTCCCAAAGAAATCTGTACCACAAGGGAGAGCTTGAATCACTAAGATTTTCTTAATTATCCTTTCTAGATCCCGAAGAACCAATTCTCTTGTCTCCTGCTAGTACTTCATTATGATGACTAACTAGGCTTATGAACATCACCTAATGCCGCACTCACATCATGTCTCTTATAACAGGGAATGAACTCCCGGCGTAAGGAGAGGCACGGTGCCAAGGAGCATGGCTGGGCTCCAGCTCCCACGTCCGATTCAGTGTGATCAGTCCTTTCCCTTTCTGGGTCACTGTTTCCTCAGCTGTAAAGTGAAAGGCCAGATTTCTTTCCTTTCCACCCTTTTATGAATATACTAGTGAATTTTTGTTTTCCCACAAAAGACTGACATTTTATAAACTCTCTAGAACCCACGCCGAAACCTGTTTGGCTCAGTGGTAGAGCGTCAGCCTGCGGACTGAAAGGTCCCGGGTTCAATTCCGGTCAAGGGCATGTACCTTGGTTGCGGGCGCATCCACGGTGGGGGGTGTGCAAGAGGCAGCTGGTTGATGTTTCTCTCTCATTGATGTTTCTAATTCTCTATCTCTCTCCTTTCCTCTCTGTAAAAAATCAATAAAATATATTAAAAAAACAAAAACTCTCTAGAACCCAGTCTTGCTATAGCAGGAAGAAACCACAGCATCTGACATTCACAAATGTTGTAGATTCCTTTCAGTACTGAAAACCACAAACTCTTAACATTGTTTCTAAACCTGGGGGTTCTGGTCACTTCATGCACTTTCCTAATATAATTTCTCTTAGATTGAAAATGTTTTCCACAGTTCAAGAAAAAGAATCTCTTTAATCATTAAAGGGGAAAAAAACAAACACAACACCACAGATGTTCTGGCAATGTTTCAAGACTAATTTCAAAACAATTCTATTTAAATAGTCTCCCCCCCCCCCCCCCCCCCGCCCCTGTTCAGGTCTATGCTTTGGCAAAGGAGCCTGTGCCTTGAAGAAACCCAACATTTGGTGTAATGTTGATGAAGATCTCCCGGAAAAAGTTTACACGACTATCCTGTATTATTCCAAGGGTAATCATCGGATGAAAGGTACATTCATAGAGACGATGTTCCAAGCAGTGGCGCTAAATGAAATGATCTATAGAACACCTGACTTGCTTTTTCTTTACTAACTCTGAGAGCCAAACCAGGCACCAGGCGTCCAAGACGGTGTCTTTTGGGCCCAGGCACTTCACTCAGCGCATTGACTTAAAAACCTTCCGTTTAAATTCAAGTTAATCAATCGCTTGGACTTGGAGAACTCAGCATACCCTCCCGTTTCCGATGGAAGGTTTCCACCAGCCGCCACTGGGCCCCGCCCTTCTCTCCTAGGTCCTCCGGGCCTGCAGCTACGGTTGCAGCGGGGGCGCCTGCCCGCCTCTTCGGCCTCCATCGGGCTCACCCACGACTGTCAGACGGGACAGTAAGTGATCTCAAGCTGCGAGGGGGTGGCCCCCACGCTAGGCACCTTCAGAACTGAGTCCTGGCTCCTGCTGCCTCCCTCTTCTTTCTCAGAGAAGATGCCTAACTTCCGCGTCCTGCGGTCCATTCAAACCTCCCTCGCACACTTCCGGGGAATGCGCGGCTCCGCGCCTGCGCACTCCGCCGCCGAGT